GTTGTGATTGTGCGGGACTTAGCCGTCCGACATCACGGACCGGGCTTAGTGTACGTACATGGTACTTAGGCTTGCGATTACCACCCTATTTTTCCAGTCTCCTTTGTGAGACTAAGGCTGCGTGAGTTCGTCGTACAAAATGGGCGAATCTCATAGTTCAAGGGTCGTCCTTGTGACTTGGAATCATACAGCATGAATTCATCATCAAGTACAATCATTATGACTATGTATGACATCATTTATGTATCACTATCATCATCTTGAACATACATGCTATATTATGTCATATCATGAATAATTGTATGTCTATTTGCTATTCAACTTGGAATTGTTGTATTAGCGTATTCCTCAGCTAACGCTGAGCGTGTAGTTTGTTTTACTTGCTACACGCAGGTAATAATACTGATCATGGAGCCCATCCCGGAGGTCAATGAGAGTGATGAGATGTACGGACTGGTGGACCACCTTTATGATGCTTTAATTAAATAAATACCTTTTTGGGCGAGTACCCAGAAAATGTAAAACAATTTGATTGTGTTTTATATTTAAGCTTCCGTACTGTTTCAACATTACTCTGAATTTAATATTTGAAATTATCATTTATATTAAAGTTTAAATTGGTTTTAAATTATTCCTCAAATTATTATGCGTATTTACCATCATGGTAACTACTCCGGCTCGAATAATCTAGCTATAGGTAATTTGGTTATTCGAGTTGGGGTGTTACATTATTGATTGAATCATGAGTAAAATGAATACAATTATAATTATGAAATGATTTGTAGTGTTAAAGGTATCTAGAGGAACTATATGATATACACATTTAGAGAATTGATGTTAAAGTTATCTAGAAGACCTCTAGAATAGATCTCATATTAGTATGGATTTGTGAAACATGAATATTCGATGAATTAGATAAAATGCATAAACGGGATTTGTAGACCAAGCTAGAGGATTACTCGTTTGGGAATGCCCGATCCAATGTTGTTCAATTGTCATATTGTTGTTGTTGCCTTAACTAATTACAGTTAAGTGGCTGAATCATTTGCCTTAAACTAGTGATAGTTTAAGTGTCTGATTGCCTTAACTGACTACCAAGTTAATACTTTTGTCCGAAAAGGGCTGCAGACCTTGACGGATTAGGGTGTTACAATACCCATCGCTGGTTAGGCGTGACTGTTGTAAGGC